TACACAGTCAACCGCAATACTTTAATCAACAAAATCAAACATATTTAAACCAACACAATGACAAACCAGTCAACAGTCAATAAAATCAATGATTTAAACTAAATAATTCACACATTACACCAAATCATACTTAATTTAATCAAATTCAACTTTAATTACAAATTAACCCATTTTACTGTTCTTAGGGTTCCTAATTTTTTTTCCCAAATTACCCTACTACACCCACACAAATGGCATAATGCAGCACACAGTACTTGTTGAAAACTACTTTAAAGGGTTCGAAAGGTACCTATATTGGAATCTTACTCCTGTTGCTGTCAGAATCCACGAAAAAGTCCAAGCTTTTTGGATGTTGGAAATGGCTGACGGAATCTCGCTGATTTGTTTCGCTCCAATATTGACACCTCCTCTTCCAACTCAATTTCTCAATCACAACAATCAGTATAGGGTTTGAATGTTCGCAGTAATTTTGGTTGTTCAAGATTTGCAGACGAAATTCAATGAAGCAAAATTAGTTGGGTGGTAATAAATGACAGAGAAGATAAATTCGAATTGAAGGGGATGGAATTTGGAGGGTAAACGACTATGTGGGCCCCACCAAAAATTTCCGTCACAGTTTCTGTTATCTGGTGGTGAAAGCAAAATTTTTATTTTTTAACAGGTGTTATAATTAAACTTTGAAATCTTAAGGTGTTAAAAACAAAATTAGGTCTTTTAACAGGTGTTATTTTCTAATTTAGCCTAAAAATATCAATGTTACCTAATTCGACAGTATGAAAAAGGGTACACAATTCGCAATAAACTGAAGAATTGGGAATTTACTCAAAGAGGTATTTCATCGAACATTTGGTGGGCAACATAATTCATATTCACAATTTTGATGATAAAAATGAAAATCAGAGAAATTGGGTTTGGTGATGTTGATATTTGATTGTGGTAAAATTTGAAATTTAGATTGAAGTTGATTGATTAGAAAGTAGTGAATTGTAAATACTAGTACATTTGTTTATTTGTTCGTTGTTTTGGGGAGCTAAAACATTTGGGTGTTGCCTGGAAATAAGAATTCCCATAATTCTGGCAGCATCGGAGATAGGATTTATGTTTTCTATGGAATCCGCAAGTGTGCCAAATTCAATGATTGATCTGATATACTCTTTATTTAGGAGAAATTCTCATCCTCAACTAAGATAAAAAAAAAATAATAATAATAAAATAAAATAAAATTAATATTTCTGAAATCAATAAAGAGTGTGTAGTACATGTGGGCCTCATGAGTCACTAAAGCACATTTAAAAAGTTTGAGGTGAGGATGAACAATTTTCCTAATTTAAAACTCATTTTTTTAGTGTGAGGATGAACAATTTTCCTAAATTAATGACGGGGAGAATATCTTCCCCAAAATTTTTTCACCAAAATTTTTCCCCAAAATCTCATTAAAATTTTCCCTCCCATTTTTGTACACCAAACAATAATTGCTTAATTTTTTTCCCCATTTTTGTTCCACAATAATAATCGTAATTGCAATTTTATTCCCCATTTACACTGATTCCTACGCTGCAATTGAATTAAGAGAAGATCGAAATTTTCCCAAATTTAATAATTGAAGCTTAGACCTGATTGCTGGGAGTTAAGGTGGGGAGTGAGGTTGGACCTGATCTGCAGCTGAAAGAGACGAGTTGGTGGAGAGCTTGGACCTGATTAAGAGACGAGTTGGTGGCGAGCTTAGTAGCCTTAGTAGGGAGTGAAGTATAAGAGTGGGTACTCAATTTTGACAAAAGTTACAAATAAGGTACTCAACTTTCAAAAGTGGAAAATTGGGTACTTAACTTTGGGAGAGTACTAATCGGAGGGAATATTCCGGCGAGTAACTTGTTGTATCCGGTTTCAACCGGTTTAGCATTTTTTTTTTTTTTTTTATTTTTTTTTGTAAATTTTGAAAAACAGAGTAATGATGACATTCGTTGGTAAATGTGCGAAGATGCTTTCTCTTGTATCAAAGCTGAGGAACTTGTGGCGGGAAACTATTCTTCACGAAGCTTCTTTGGCAAGCTTCCCAAGATTACCCCTCCCTCCTTATTTCAGACAAGCTTTTGTCTCCCTTTTCCCTATAAAAGCAAGTAGAAAGGGGGGGGGGGGACCTTCATCATTTACTCCATTAAAAGAAGTCCAAAAGAAGAAAGTTGCAATTTTTAGGAGCGAATGACTTGGCCAGCCGTTGATCTCGCTGAAGAACGAACGAGATAGGAAACTTGCAAAAAGAACCTCTGGAGAAGGTATATTCTCATTCTTTGTCTTTATGTTATTGAATTTGGTACTTGTTGGTTGTATTGTTGCTCTTAAAAGTGAATGTTTGTCTTTTTCGCATGAATAACATATGTTTTTTGTTGCTTATTTTGTTGTAAAGTGTGACTTAGCTTAAACAAAGATTAGAATATTGATTACAGTGTTGAATTTGTTATTAAAAAATGGAGAAAGTAAGGTTTGTGGGTTGTATGTTGAAGAGAGGCTTAGTTTAAGTACACCTCAGTAACTTTTGGTAAAAAAAATGTTGGACTTTAGGTATGGACGCCCTTGCTGATGCACACCCTCTCTTCAGCCAGCAGGATGTGTTGGTGACACACATCTTCAACCGCCTGCTCTAGGAGGACCAGGAAAGTGTGGAGAGGACCTGCAAGAAGTGGCGGGTCTGGTGGCGCCTTCGTCACATGGCCTTCATCTACCCTTTCCCATGGCCCTAGGGCTTCAATTCAGGATTGGAACCTCCACGATGTGTTGTTCAATGATGGCGCGACCTCCATGCGTGGGTTAACAAGGACATGACCGTCTACTTTGACGGGTTCCCACTCTTGTTCAAGGAGGAGTAGTTGCAAGAGGGCGGGGGTGTCTTAGGTGCAGCATGTTAACGCTTTTTTGGGGGATGCTGCTTGTATAAGCTTTTATGTGTTTTTTTTTTTCTGATGTAAGAAAAATTAACTTTGTTCTGATGTAGTGGTTTTAGATGTTTCTTCTGTCATGGCATATGTAGGTTTTTGTGGATGAAGTAGGTTTTTGTGACAAGTTATAAGATGTTGCTTGACACTATGCCATGACAGAGGAGTAATATTGCTAATTGTAGGATGTAGGTGAGCCTACCTTTTGTATGGATGTAATGGACATATTTTATGAAATGAATGAAATTAGTAATTATGTATGAACTTGTGTCAATATTTGCAGCTTTACTTAGTTTATTTATGTTGTATGCACATATATATATGTGGATACATATACTCAATTGACATATTAAGACAATCAACTGATGAACAATTTGGCCATGTTTGTATAACAGAACAGATGCATTTGAAACCTTGCATAATAGTTCATCATGGTGGGGAATGGGATCAAGATGAAGGTCAACTTATATACAATGGGGGAAGAGTCAACACCTTTGATGACATACCAGAAGATGTTGACTCTGTGTATGTGAAACAAGTTATTGACAGTCTAGGGTATAAAGATATAGTCAAAGTGCATTTCTTGGATCCCAGAAAGGATTTTCAATGTGGTATAAGGTTTTTGGGGTTTGAAAATAGTTCCTGTGACCCCTGCCTTTCACTGTTGTTGGAGTTTAGGGTTATTGAAGTATATACAGAAAATGAACATGCACATGTACCTCCACACATAGGTATTGGAGTAGGTGGACATGGCTCCTTTGTTGAACTTCTTAATAGTGGTGTGCTTAGGAGTACTGATCCATTTATAGACTATGATACTGAGAGGTCAGATGAGGATGATGCAGAGATTGTGAATGTTAGAACAAGGTTGAATGAAGAGAAACAGAAAGAGCAATCATATGAGGATGAATTGGTCATGCTGAGAAAGCTAGCAGAATCAAAGGGAACAGATCCATCAAGATATGCATGTGATTCTGATGGACTAAGTGGGACAGACAGCCCTTATGAGTCATCTGATGAGGATGACTATGGGTACCTGGTACAACTTGTGGGTAACAGAAAGAATACTGTAAAAGGAGGGTCTGAAGGGAGTTCTAGCAAGTTTTTTGTTGGTCAGTCATTTGATAATTCAGTGACATTCAAAAAAGTTGTTACTGACTACTGTATTCAGACTGGTAGAGACATCCATTTCAGTAGAAATGACAAAAATGGGGTTGGTGGGCATTGCAAGAGCAAAGACAAAGGTTGTCCTTGGAGGATATGGGCATCTTGGGAGAAAGGGAAAAGAAATTTCATGGTTAAAACTCATGTTGGTGAGCATACTTGTGGTAGGGAACCAACAAGCAAGAGAGTAACAGCTTCATGGGTAGCTAGGTTTTTTCAAAGAAAATTCAAAGTTAACCCATACATGAAGGTGCATGATATCATAGAGACTGTATGGCTTGAAAAGGGGTTGAAAGTTAGTAGGTACTTAGCTTTCAGAGCTAGAAAATTGGGACAGAAACTCATTGTTGGTGAGTATGAGGACCAAATTGGTTTGCTTCCTAGATATGCAGCTGAAATTTTGAGAAGTAACAGGTGAAATACAGTAAAGCTTAAATTGAATGCCAATGTGTTAGAAAGAATTTACTTGTGTTTTGAAGCTCTTAAAAAGGGATTCCTTGATGGATGCAGGAGGATCATTTCCTTGGATGGATGCTTTTTGAAGGGGCCTTTTGGTGGTCAGCTATTAGTTGTTGTAGGGAGGGATGGGAACAACCAAATGTTCCCAATAGCATGGTCAGTAGTGGAGGTAGAGAGTACAGATTCTTGGACTTAGTTCTTAGAGCTTTTAGGTTCTGATTTAGGTACTTATGGTGGGGCAGGGTACACATTTATGTCAGACCAACAGAAGGGTCTGCTTGCTGCTGTTGCAAACACATTCCCTAAAGCTGAGACTAGGGTGTGTGCAAGACATGTATATTGTAATTTCAGATCAGTCTTTGGGGGGGGGGGGTGGAATTCAGAAAGCAGTTTTGGAAGATAGCCAAAAGTACAACTGAGAATGAATTCAATGCAAACATTGAGTTAATGAGAGCTATTTCAGAAGATGCTGCTGAGGATCTCATGAACAGAAACTACAAAAAATGGTGCAGGGCATTTTACACCCCACTCTCATGTTGTGACAGTGTTGATAACAACATGAGTGAGGTGTTTAATGCTTACATTCTCAACTCAAGGCATAAACCAATAATCACCATGTTGGAAGACATAAGGGAAGGTGTAATGGAGAGGCTTCATAAGAAAAGGGATCAGATTGCCAACAAGGAAATGGTTTTATGCCCTAGGATCCAACAAAAGTTGGAAACATGCAAGGTTTGGGCTAGGGGTTGGAATGCATATTGGGATGGTGGGTTTTGTTATGGGGTCAGAGAAGGTGCTACTCGAGAAAAATTTGTTGTGAACCTTTCTCAAAGAACTTGTAGTTGCAGAGCTTGGCAAATTAGTGGCATCCCCTGCAAACATGTTGTAGTTGTAGTGTGGAACAAGTCAGACCATCCTGAGCCATATGTCAATGAATATTTCACAAAATCCACTTACCTAAAAGCATATCAGCACTTGTTAGAGCCTTTAAATGGACCTCAGGAATGGCCATTATCTAATGACCTTGTTTTGCCACCAAAGCTCAAGAAAATTAATCACAGGCCAAAAACAAAGAGAAGAATGCTGGCAGCAGAAGTAACTGCAGTAGGGAAGCTCAAGAGGAAAGGTGGTGTAATCACTTGCAGACTTTGTGGTGTCCAAGGCCATAATGCAAGGGGCTGCAAAAATGTTGCTGCAGGAGACAGAAGCAACATCAACACCAGAAACACTGAAAACTCCACTTCTGCAACAACAGCAACACATGAACCTCAACTACCCATGCATATGAGGGAAGTGGGGATCTACACTTACCCAAATGGGTTTCAGAGAGTTGTAACAGCAAGAAATTTACAAATTTGAGTTTTATTGTCACTAATATTACAGTCAAATGTTAACCTTTTTTTTAATTAGATGCAAGGTAGTTTAAACCACCAAAATCATGTTCCTGCACCAACAACACAACATGTTCAAAGGACATTTTACTCTGACTATGATGGGGAGCAGACTGTGTATTCTTGCAGTCAAGAATACCCCCCTTCATCACAACAAAGCCACCATGATCCAACAACTATAACATCACAAGCACTATAGGTGGGTTAATACAAAAACTTTTATTCATTTCCTTTGCCAAATAGCATCATCTGAGTACATTTTGAACTTTTACAGGACCTAGCAAAGAAGAGAAGAACTAGCAAGAACAACTAAGGTAACATACTACCTACAACTGCTTACATTTTAATTTTAAATATGCCTTACATAAAAGTAAATCCCCAATGCTGCAGCTACTATAAAGCCCCACAGTTTCCAACTCAAATTCAATCTAACACCCCTTTTGAATTTCATCAATGTGTTTTCTGCCTTCATCTTCCTTGCATATTCATTAGCTTCACAAAGCTGCTTCCTCATGCCCACCATCTCATGTTTCAACCTGTCCTTCTCCTCCATCAAACCCAATATAACATCAGTCTGCCAATCTGTTGGTGCTTCAACATCTGTCCACTTGAAGAACTTGCACCCTCTTCTTTCAGTGTCTGCATCATAATCTGGACATGCAAGAAATCTTCTTCCAGGGTTATCCTTTGTCCAAGCCCTTGTCCTAGACACAAGCAAACCACAATGACACCTACTTGGGCTTGAGCTAAAACCTGAACTTAATCTTGACATGGTGACTGATTTCCCTTATTCCTAATACTTGCAGATTCACCCAGCAGCATCACTATTTTTTGGGGAAAAATTTCACAAACCAAGTTGTGAAGAAACTAAGGCTTAGAAGTACTCTTATATATTATTTAGCCTTAGCTCTTTCATTTGTAACGGCTACATTTTTTGAAATACAGTTACATTTCTCATTTTCCTGGTTTAAATATGTACTCTGACAATTATTCAGCTTCACAGGCTTCAAGGGAATGAAAAAAAATATATTCATATTTGCATTTATTAGCTGTTGATTACCGGCTATAACAAGTCAATTAGGTTGATTACAAAGTTTAGTACTCTATCTGCAACAAATGAAAGTTGAGTACTCAATCTGCAACTTTTGTCAAAGTTAAGTACCCACTCTTATACTTCACTCCCTTAGTAGGTTGTCGACAAAAGGGATGATGGTGGTGATTGTGTGAATAGAGAAATTGAAATAATTAAGGTAAGATCTCAGTAATTCAGAATTTTAGGTGTATTAATTCACATTTGTTATTGTGTTTAGTTAATTTAATTTTAAAATTGAAAATATTGAAGAATAATTGGTTAAACTGGGCATGCAATTGCTGTATATCTGTGTTTACTGTTTTGGCACAATTGAAATGGAGAAATCGCGTGGTGTAAATTGTGGCGTAATGTGTTATTTATTATGCATTCTTATCGTGTGGTGTAATGTGTTTGGATCTGTTCATGTGTTGAGCCCTTGTGATGTATATAGTTCTTGTATTTTCCTCCCTAATTGCTGATTTGAATCTGTTCCCAGTTCTTGTAATTCCCTCCCTAATTTCTAATCTGGTTCTGTTCCCAGTTCTTGTAATTCCCTCCCTAATTTCTGATCTGGTTCTGTTCCCATATTAAGCAGAATGATTGTGATAGCTCAGATAGTAGTTTAGATAGCTCAGACTGTGATGAATTTCCTAAAAGTGTTGAGAACGATGATGGATGGGAGGCTTTTGACCTGAATAAGGAGCCTCCATCTGAGGGTGTTCATTATGTTATTATCAATAGGGACTTTATTAACTTGAATGAAGATTGTAATGTTGGTTTAGAGAGGGAGTTAGACAGTGGTACAGGTAGTGTATTACCTCAACCAGAAGTGGGAATGGTTTTTGGTACCTGGGATGAAATGAATAAGTATTATCGTGGGTATGGGAGGCAAGAAGGGTTTGGTGTTGTGGGTATAGGTGGTGGGAAGCCATCCTCTAATAATGCTGGGAAGTCAACTTCATATCGCACTTATGTATGGAAGTGTGAGTGCTATGGGAAGACAGCATACCGAAGGAAGGTTAATGGTAAGAGGGTTGTGGTTAAGGAAGAACCAATGGTGAAGAAGAAGACTAAAAAATGTGATTGTCCGGTTATGATGTATGGGCAAGGTAATGATGAAGGTGGTTGGTTGGTAAAGAAGGTTGTGAATGAGCATAATCATCTAGTGAGTCCCGAGTTGACCAAACACATAGCTATGTATAGGAAGGAGAATATTACAAAGCACTTGGAGAATAGGATTGAAAATGATCATGGCTCTGGTGCACCAATTGGGCAGATTTACAACAATATGGCTAGCCAAAGAAATGGTGTTAGGAATATGGGATTCACTAAAAAAGATATGCACAACTTGGTGAATAGAAAGAGGAGGTTGAAGTTTAAAAATGGTGATGCGTCGGCTATGTTGGACTATTTTGATAGGATGAGTGCCGATTATCAAATTTTTTTTCACATGAACCGTGTTGATGAAAAGGGGAGGTTGAAAGACATAATGTGGGTTGATGCTCGAAGTAGGGAGGCATTAAACTATTTTAGGGATGTCGTATGTTTTGATTCGACGTACCTAACAAATGAGTATAAACTTCCATTTTCGAATTTTGTTGGGGTTAATCACCATGGTCAGACTATTCTTCTTGGATGTGCGTTGGTTTCTCATGAGAATGCGAAGACCTTTGAGTGGTTATTCAAGACTTGGATGTCTTGCATGAGAGGTAAGGCCCCGACAGCGATCATGACAGATCAGTGTGCAGCGATGAGGAAGGCGATTAGAGCTGTTTTCCCCATGCCTCAAACACGCCATCGGTGGTGTATGTGGCATATCATGAAGAAGTTTGGGCAGAAACTTGGTGGTTTGTCTAACTATCCGGATGTGAAAGAAGAGTTGCAGAATGTGATCTACAACAGCATTACCCTGGAGGAGTTTGTTGATTCTTGGTGGGAAGTTATAAAAAAGTTCAAGCTCGAACAATATGATTGTTATGAAAGGCTTGAAGGTCAGTGTTTTGGTACTTTAATAACTGATGTTCATAGTCCATGCTTGCTGTTATTTCTTATATTGGTTAATTTTTGTTGGTTATGTTCTCTCCTACCTCTATTCTGCCTAATGCCTGATGTACTGGTTTATGTATTATGCTTCCTGGCAATGTTGTATGTTGGCATTGGAGTACCATCCATGGCATTGGATGGTACCATCATGGCATTTGATGGTACCATCATGGAGTTGGATGGTACTTCTTAAATGATGCAAAAGAGAAAGTACTGAACCATGTTGGGATTAGTTGGTACTTAATTTAAATTTGATGGTACCAAACTGTTCTGTAAGGTATTGTATTTTACTCAGTGTTATGTTGCATTGTTCTAAGTTTTCTGAAATACAAATATTTGTTGTTGTAGGCCTGTTTGAGGAAAGGGAGATGTGGATTCCCGCGTTTGTGAAGGATGTGTTTTGGGCAGGAATGCAAACAACTCAAAGGGTTGAAAGCATCAACAGCATCAACCCGATATGTAAGGCCTTTGCTGTCGGAATTCAGGTTGGAACGTAAATTTCAAAAAGTGTATATTGATGCAAAGTTTGTGGAGGTTCAAAATCAGTGCAACCGAGTGGCGTATGTGACCCATGTTGGGCCAAAGAAGATGGTGTCACCTACTAAGGAAGAGAATATTTTTTCAAATCCTGTTTGGATATATTGCAAGAAAAGGAGGAGAGAAGTCCCCCTACTAAAATTGGGCCAAAATAGGTTGAAGGAGTATACAGTGTTGTACAACAAGGAGAAAAAAGAGGCATATTGTGATTGTCAGCAATTTGAATGTCATGGGATTGTATGTAGACACATCATTAAGGTATTAGACATGAATGGTGTTACTGAGGTCCCTCCCATGTATATTCTAGATAGGTGGAGAAAGGATATTACTAGGAAACATACCCTTACCAAAGTTGCTTACCATGATGCGTCCAAAACGGAAGATATGATGAGATACGATAATTTGATGCTTGTTGTTGAACCTATTATTATGCGAGGTTCAACATCTGAAGAAGTTGTTGAGTTGTTGATGGATATGATTCAGTCTATGAACATAAAGCTTGATGAACTAAAAGTGCTGGCTGAAGGTTCAGGACAAGGTTCTGGCGGTGATGAAAGGCCTAGTGGTGAAATTGTTGAGATGGTGCAATAGGCTGTTCCTCCTACTGTAAAAACTCCGAGTTGCTCAGTTAACAAAGGCAGCACTCAACCAGATGATTCACCGAATTCTAATGTGAAAGATCCTGAACCTCGGGGGGGGGGGGGAGGGGGGAATAATAGAAAAGGCACACCAAAAGTCTCTCGGTTTGTGTCACCGATAGAAAAAGGGGGTTCGAATAAGCAGGCCAAGACAGGAGGAGGCAAGAAGAAACGGGTAATGGGAAAAGAGACCGATGTGGATAATGGGACTGTTCATACATTGAGCTTGCAAAGCGAGGTAAGTGTACTATTTTTGGTGTGGTTAGGGCGTACTGATTATAGTAGTGTATGGTTGCTTATCTTATTGCTGCGATTGTGGTTGTGGTGCAGGTACCATTTCCTCCTAATATGTTTGGTGGTCAATATTTTCCACATCAAGTATATCACCAGCAGGTAATTCTTTCTACTAATTGTTTACTGTATTCGTATTCTGAATACAGTTGCAAGCCTTATAGTAGGGTGTTTTTTCACAGGGCCAATATACAGTTGCAAGTAATGGGAGTGGTCCGTCAGCGTTCAATGGAAGGATGTTAGTAGGTGGAATTCACATGAATGAGTACGCTGATGCAGTTAGGTACTTCACCAACAATGCGTACCATGGGCAACAACATTTCCCCCTTCACGGCCATGTATTGAACAGCGGGTTCCCTACTAACATGTCCGTACATCATTTGCAACAGGATTTAAATCATTCAATTATTAATTAATTTTTACAATAAACATAGCTGGATGTACTATATAATTGGTTATATAAAGTTGTGTGTTGTGTAGAATATTAACGTATCAATATGTGTCAGAATGGTATCATTGTGCTATCATTTATACCAATGAATCATATGGTATCTTATTTTGATACCATTACCAATGGGAATGATATCCTGAATGCAAACCATTAAGACGTACAATGGTACCAGCAGTCGATTTGGGTTCTCCCAATATCAGTTACGATGGGACATTATGGGTTCCACCAATATATCAATAAGACTAATAATGGAATAAATGAGACCGTACTGAATGGGCTTTTACACTGACGGACTCATTGCCAATGAAATAAAATTGGACCTTATTCCATTGAAAGAAGATTATATCTTTGAAAAAATGAAACAAAAATGTCGAACCAAATGTGAAAGAGTAGACTTTATGCTTGAAGGGGGAATTTGTACCGGTGAAGTCACTGAAATTTTTGGTGAATCCGGGGTGGGCAAAACTCAGATTTGTTTGCAGATGCTGTTGATGTGTCTTTTGTATCCGGGGGATGGTGGTCTCTATGGATCATCGATATACATACAAGCATGTCCGGTTTTCCCGGCTCAACGACTACACAGTCTTAGTGTGCATTTGTGTCCTTCCCAAAATATTGATGAAAACCTACTTAGCTTAGTACACGTTAAAAAAATTGATAATGTTGACCAGATATTTCTAGTTCTTAACCAAGTGGAGTTGATGGTGATTAACTCCCATGAAGGATGTAGGAACACAAAGGTTGTTGTTCTTTATTCAATAGCGTATTTGTTTAGGCATGAGCACGACAACACATATTATGGCTTTATGGAGCGTAAACGAATGTTACAGGCTGTAGCACGGAAAATTAAAGAAATAGCAAGTAAGTATAATCTTGTGTTTATAGTGGTTAACGAGGCTATTGATGTATTTGACAACAACGGTAGCCGGGAAGCCCTAAGCACGTACAGTTCGGGGGGAGAAATAAAGGCATCGCTTGGCAGTTCGTGGGAAAGTTTGATTCGGAACAAAATGTTTATTTCCCACCAGTATGACATTAACACAAAATCATGGTATCGAGAATTGACGGTGTTAAAGAGTACAAACATGTCACTATAAGGCAGGCGGTGTCCATTCAGCATAACAAGCACGAGGTTGGAATCTTGATACGCTTCCAATGCTAGACTTTGTTGGTACTAAAATTGTGTCAGTTGATACTATTTTACTTGTTAATGGAAGTAGTGATATGTAGTGTAGTATTGGATTTATGTGTTGTAGTATTAGAGTTATGTTATGTAGTGTAGTATTGGATTTATGTGTTGTAGTATTGGAGTTATGTTATGTATTGTAGTATTGGATTTATGTGTTGTAGTATTGGAGGTATGTAATGAATCATTAGGAATGGAAAATGAGATTGTTTAAAACATCCAGAAATAAAGCATACAAAGAAGAACAAGATTAGCATCATTACAATCATGAATAAACTGATATTTTTTTTTAAAAAATTAAATACGACATATCACTCAGCTACAATACTAAATTAATTGCGATTGATACTATCATAATGGACCATGGGAAGATGACGGTACCATGTTATATATCTTCACTACCATCCGTATCGCTGGTTGTGCAGAAGCTGGTGTCTGAGGTTGTTGAATCCGTATCCGAATGGCCGCTGTTGGTATTTAGCCACCGCATCATCCAAACGAATCCTGTACTGTTCGGGGTGTAGAGATATTAAGTACGGGTTCGTAAGGAGGATATCCATGTTGGTCATAACATCAACATCGTTAGCCTCCATCATCATGTCCTTGAACTCGAGGTATTTGTCGTCATCTAGCTGCCACTCGAAATCATGTCTCACATTGTATGGAGAGAAATTCACCCATTCGTATGTGATGTTCACCTTGTCGGCAACTTGAACCCCTATTCCACTCTCTTCGGAGAAGTTTCGGCCCAAAGTGAGAATACCCCATTGGCCTGACTGTGGGACAATGGTCTCAAGATGGCCATCTACATCCTGCCACCAAGCCTTTAATGACTTAAACATGCAGAAGAAATTTTTAAGCCATATGTACCGACGCTTGTATATCATGCATTTAACAAGTGTTTCCTTCAACTTCACCATGTCAAAGATGAAAGCCATCTTGTACACATCTAGCAGGTAAAACAATAAGCAGTAAGCCTCCTTTTTGAACGCATTTGGTGGCCCAAGTTCAAGAAGTGTCAAATACGGGTACGTTGGATGCCAACGTATCCCGTGAATGGCTCTCAAACGCTTACCACTTAGAAGGGCTTGCTGAAATGGGATGATTAAACTCTTTGATCTCATTTCGAGAGCTAAGGAGCCAATGGTGTCCTTAACATCTCGTTCACCGGGTTCATCCAATTCTTCAAAAAGATCAAAGTCGTCCATCTTTGCCTTTCCCTTTTCGGCGTATGTATAACGTCGAGAAATCGATCTTGTTTGCAATCCATGTGAAGATTCCCCTTCAAAGTTTTTCTTATTTTCCATGGTTGGTTATTATTATAGTGTTTATTTGAAGTTTTAGGGTTTATGAAAAAAGGAAAGGAAAGTAGAACTTGGTAGTACAAGTACTAGATAAAAGGGAAGCAAAGGATTTTATAAATAAAGGGAAGCAGAGTAGTAGAACTAACTGGGATGAGTAAAAGCTAGTAAATGAAGGGAATTTGAAAGTACAAATTTAGGTGTAAGGTGTAATGACTGTCTGTAAGTTAAAGATACCAATGTTGTAATTTACATATTTATTTGTATTTTACACGGTTTCAATAGACACACTGGCCATAAGACCGTTGGTATTCATTTCGAATTGACTAATACCAATTGTCAACAGGACAATATACTATTAAATTGGTGATTTTTTTTGGGCAAATTTACATGCACTATGTAGTTGGTTGTAATTAGGTGCATATTAATAAAGCCGGATGTTATGTTTATCGTCTTTAGATAGATTGTTATTATTCGCAAATTACGATTACTATTAATAAAACAATTTCATAAATAACCACTTAAACGGGAGTTCATACATAGTTAACGTTGTCAACAAACAAGTTACTTATTACTACACACGACTACAACTACATAAACAACCAACTACCGAACCTACTCTTAACACCAATAAAGTATTTAAGAACTACCAAACCTACTCTTAACACCAATAAAGTATTTAAGACAGGTAGTTCACTTACTTAAGACAACAAGTTAACCAAATGACCACACAATCCATAGCAAGACTACTGATACCATAATGCCTATAGACAGTACCTGTTTAAACATGTAATGGTATCAATTTGAATTTTCTTATACCAATACGAATTAGGATGGTACAACCATCCTTTAAGTAATGGTATTAGTGGTTATAACTAGGGCTTCAATACAACACCGTCATATCTCCTCACCTCCATCCGTGTGAGGATCCGTGGTGGTGTACTCCGATTTAGAACTTAAATCCATATCCCATAAGAGCCGGTCCACAATGTTCTTAAGCGCCAAATCCATCTGGTTCTTGTAATTCTGAGGGTGGAGATCGGTGATGTTTGGATTGGTGAGTAAAATATCTATGTTTTGCATGACATCTAACCTGTTGGCCTGTGTCATCATTTTAGATTGTTACTTAGATTTTGATAAGTTTTACGTGAGTTTATTAAATTATATTACGTGTGCATATTGTTGATTGGATCCATAAAACATGCCATAAAATTAGCATGTAACGAATTAATTTCAAACAACAAATATTAGTAGCTACTATTACTAAGTCTTAACCATAACAACATATTACTACCTACTACCACTAAGGCTTAACCATAACAACGAGAACTACAAGGAAAATACTTAAAAAGTTAGCCAAAAAACCAAAAGAACCTGTAGAAAGACTAGTGATACCATCACACTAGAAGGTAGTACGTTTTTTTTTCTTTATAGTCTATACCATCTTTATGGTGGATGGTTTAGAGTACTTAAATTAGGGTTAATAATAACACACAACACTACGGCTTCAGATCTCTTCACTTCCATCCGTGTCAACGTCTGTGGTGGTGTAGTCCGAATCTGAACTTAAATCCATATCCCAAAACAGCCGGTCTGCAAGCTTCTTGACCGCCACATCCATCTGGTTCTTATAATCTTGAGGGTGTAGATCGGTCATGTATGGATTAGTGAGTAGAATATCCATGTTTTCCATGACATCTATCCCGTTAGCCTCCATCATCATGTTTTTGAACGTGAGGAAGTTCTCTTCGTCTTTTTCAAGCAAGCTCGTACCTCAAATTGTCGTGGGAGAAGTTCACCCATTCATAAGTGATGCTTACCTTATCAGCAACATGAACACCCACTCCATTTTCTCTGGAGAATTTGCAACCTAAAATTATCATACCCCACTTACCCGACTCCGGCACATCGTTCTCAACATGTTCAAGAACATCTTCCAACCAACCTCATATTGGCTTAAACAAGGCAAAGAACTTACCTATCCATTTATATGCACGTTTTTCTTGCATGTATTTTGGAAGGATTTTTTTTCAATTTCACCACATATAAAATAAAAGCAACATTGTACACATCTAGTAAGTAAAATAAGAAACAGTATGCATCCTTCTTGAACTCTCTAGGTGGCCCTAGTTGTAGTGGTGACAAGTAAGGGTAATCGGGATGAAATCTTAAACCACATATAGCACCCGATCCTTTACCACTATAAACGGCAAGTTGATATGGCCGAATCAGACTCTTTGATCGGTTCTCGAGAACAATTGTGCCGATGGTATTCTTCACATCCATTTCCCCAGTTTTTCAAGTTCCTTGCATACGTCAAAGTCTTCCACTTTCGCCTTTCCCTTTTCAGCGTAAGTGTATCGACGGGTCATGGGTCTCTTAGGTCTTGGTTTGGAAGAAGATGATGAACCGTGATTGTTTTTTGGGTTTTTGTTTTGGTTTTCCATGGTGAAATACGTAGGAAATGAAAGGAAAAAAATTTGGCTAGATGCTATGATATGTGTTTGGATAAATGCAAACAAAAATGTAAATGTGATATCACCCTTGTGGTAAATGTAAAAGTACAATTCTTTGGTAGAGGAAATTTATTCACTCCATTGGTTCAATAAAACAATAATAGCTGGGGGAAGCAAACCCAATTAATACAAAGGTACGGACTGGAAGTCAAATCATCAACTACGTAAGCACTTTAAATTAATATAACAACAAGAGTTATAATACGATTGATAACATACTGTAGACACCCATTTGTGTCTCCCCAAAAACCAAACCCGGTGATGAGTACCTTTCGCGTCAAACCATAATCGAATGAAGCGAAAGTGTGGAAAATTTAGTGTTGCGGATAGTTTTAATTTCTTTTCTCTTCTCTCTGTTTTTAAAAACTTATTTTAAGAAAACAGCCAATCCAGTTTGGTTGGTCCATGATATGGGTCCAATAGTATTGTAGTTGGATGGGGCTTGACAAGAGCTTTCCAACAATATATTATAAGCCCAATTCCGATGAATATTGGATGTTATGGCCAATTTACTAAACTGGGCCTGGTTTAAGCCTTATATGCGGCCCAATGATCTAGAGGAGGGCCTAATATGATTTATCATTCCTAATGCAATTAGAAATGGTTTTAGTCTTCTAGATTCTTCTAGAAGGTTCTTTTCATTCCTAATTCAATTAGCATTGATAAATTGACTTTTGTTGACTTTTCAAAGTTTTAATTAAAATCAAAGAACATTTTTGAGGAAAAGATACGATTTTATCCTCCTGTACGACAAAATTTATCTGATTTTGGAAAACGCGTCAAAAACAGGATTGGCGTCACACGCCAGGCATTGGCGCCTGGCGCTGACATTGGCGCTTGGCGCCAATGGCCAATGGCTGGCGCCAATCTCGTTTTGCGTGTGCCAGACTCTGTTTTGTTAATTTTATATTTTTGGTTGATTTTCTCTATAAATAACGTATTAAAACTCCGTTTTTGATAACCAGATTTCATCAATTCTTATTTCAATTCACTTACTCTCATCAAGATTCTCTTGATTACTCTCTCTCTCTCTCTCTCTTCTTAACTAGATTTCTCTCAAACACAATTCCTCATACATTAGAACTAGCTACACC